ATGCGCGACCCTGGTGGACCGTGGCCATCCATCCGCGCCCACCCCCATTTTTTCTGCTCGGGATCCTGGAAGCAAGGGGCAGAGGGGACGCCGGAGCGCCGTTTGTCGCGAGTTCACGGAGCAAGTCCGTTCCCGGAAAGCGGCGACGTGGTGGCCCGAGGACACCAAATAAAGACGCGGCCTCCAAACCCAGCGCCCCGCTAGGTCGTCCTGGTCACTTGAAGGAGTTGCAAACTGGAAGCCCGCGGGCCAATCCGGCCCATCTGCGTGTCTGTGGGGCCCTCAGCGTGTGTGAAGTGGGGCCGGAAATCCACTGGGAGGAGAGCGCGCGCTCCCAGCTCACCGGGGTCCCACCGCTTCCTCCAGTTGTCCTGTAGCGGCATCGGCCCCCGCAGGCGTTTCAGTTTGCACCTTCTTCCCGTCCACACCGCACGGGGTGTGGACTGCACAACGGGCAGGGGATGCGGCCCGAGGGCCGGCGGGGGCGGCAGCTGTCCGGGCATGAGCGACAGTCCCTCCTGGCGCTGCCAGTCGCCCTAATTAGGGGCCACCTCGGCTCACCTGCTCCGGCCCTTCCCCCGCCCACGCCGCGCGCCCACCGGAGCCCGCTAATTGCCAAAGCCTTTGGGCACCGCTCGCCCAGATGGGGGCGTCGGGGACAGATGGGGTCCGGCGCGCAGGGGGAGCACTAGGAGCGTCACCTAAGGGAGCTGGGGCGTGGGGGGCGGGGGGCGGCGCGGGAGCTCCGAGGATTCCCGAGGCTGCGGCTGAGCCAGAGTCTGGGGACTAGGGAGGGGGGCAAGGGGGCCTGGGTATGGGTGGAGCGCCGTCCCCGTCCCGACGTGGGCTCTGGAGCCACACTCCCAGATTACCACCTTGCCCCCTCCATTTACCCCTGAGTGAGTCATTTACCCTCTCTGTGCCTCAGTTTCCTCACCTGTAAAATGGAACAATCACACCATCCTTAAAGGGTTACTGTGAGAATTGAATGAATTAATAACACAGGTAAAGCTCTCAGTGCGGTGCCCTATACTGACTAGCCTTCGCTGAATGTTGGTGCCTCCTCTTGTAGCCTCCTCCGCCTATTCTTAGCATCCTGAGCTCCCCAGAGGCGCAGCCTGGAGCTGCCTGCTTGCTCCCAGCTTTGTGGCATCTGTTCCTCACTGCAGCGCCCCCTCCCCCCAATAATCGGAGCAGCCAGAGAGCAATAAGGCAGCCCCTAAGAGAGATGGGGAGTAGGTTTGTGTGCCAGCAGGTGATCCCCATCTCTGCCCTACCTAGAATAGCCCATCCCTCTGACAGGCAGTGGGGGTGGGGGGTGAGCCCCAGCGCCTATGGGCCGTCTGCAGTCTCCAAAGCAAGAGTGGCATGCTGCCGCATGCTGTCCCACAGGGCCCTCTCCCTGCCCAGGGTGGCATTCAGTGCAGCAACCACTTACCCTGAGAAGGGCCAGGTCTACTTCTGGCCTCTCTTTCCCATTGGCAGAGATGATGACTGAGGGGGCCTGTCACCAGCAAGGTCTTTTGAGACCCCTGGCATAGGCCCCTGTCAAAGGCCCCCACAATCCCTACTGGTACCCTGAGACACTTGTGTGGGAACAGGGAACTTGGCCCAAAGTCTGTAATAAAAGAGGGACTTAAATGAGAGGTGGGTCTTGTGCAGGGGGAATCCTTTGCCTTAGTTGAACTTTTCATGGGCATCAAGGTGTTTACTTGACAGAGGGAGCTCAGACAGCTTGCTAAGCAGATTCTGCCCTAAAGGGAGGAAGACAGAAATTTCTCCAGCACTGAGAGCATCCAGGGGGCCTTAAAGCCCAACGCCTTGGCCCCGGAGCCATTCTGGTTTCAGTCAATGAGAAGGACAGGTCCTGCTTGCAGGGCTGCCCCCATCCCAGATGCCGTTTGTGTCCCTGGTACCTAGGTCTTCCTAAGGCACATCGGCTGTGCTGGCAGTGTGACATCACCAGGTCTCAGCAACATGTTCCTCGACTGAGATGCACGTTAGGTCTGAGGGCTTGCTCAGCCCCCCTGCCCACTGCCTGTCTCTGGGATGTGGAGTTCCAGCTCTCTGGGCGTCAGAGGCACCCTGCAGCACCCCAAGGGCTCTGGCTAGTCCTCCAACACTGAGTCCAGGAATTCGTCATTTCTCTGTGACTCCTGCCCAGTAAAGGAGTGAGGAGCCTGAGGACAGTGCCCTGGGGTGCAGAGGCCATGCAGGAGGCTCTGCCCACTGGGCTCTGCTCCCCAACATAGCATTAGCCGAGTTCTTATGGGAAGGGGGCAGCAGGGGTATCTCTCTGGCCTTGGGAGTTAGTGACAGAAGTCCCTGGGTCCTGCAGCTAAGAGCTGGGGAACCGTGAGGGCCACGTAGGGGATGAAGAAGCTGAGCTGCGGGCCAGCGACTGAGAGAACCTCCAGACTGACGCTCCCAGGTCGAGGACCCGCTGTGCCGGTGCCCTGCAGACCGCCCCGCGCCCGAGACTGTTCGCTACCTCCTTTTCCCCTCCCCTCTCTCAGTGGGGGACCCGCCCCCAATTAAGGGCCCTCGGAAGTCAGAGTGGTTGCATAACATTTCCCATTTTACTCCAAAGCCAGACGCTAGCCTGAGCCCCCCACCTCTCATCCCGCCCCCGCCAGTCTAAGACCACCCTCGGCGAGGAGCCACCTGCCCTGGGTGGCTGTGCGAGCTCGTGTGAGCCTCTGCGGGCCTCCTTGGCATCCGAGGACGGTTCGCTCTCTTACGTGGTAGCCCAGATCCCTGGCTGGGCGCGCAGTTTAGGCGGGTGGCTCGGGGAAGGGCCTGGAGCCTGGCTGGATCCAGTCCCCCCTTCCTTGGAGGCGCAGATCTAGCCTGGCGGGCGCCTGGACTCCGGCCGAGAGAGCTTGCATATGGGGTGGGGGGAAGACGATTTATTTCCTTTCAACAACTGCCCCTCTCTGCATACACCGCGCACAGCCGGAGCCCGCACCCGCACACGCCAGCCTTGAGATGGGGAAAGGAAACCGCGACTACTACCGAGACCCGCATCTCCATCCCGCCAGATCTCAGCTCCCACTCCTCCGAGCTCCAGCCTCTTCGCATCCCTCTGTGTCTGAGGCTGGAGCCAGACCCAGTTTTGAGTTCTTAACACATTTCGTTTCACATGGGACTTCGAAATAAAAGCTACTAGATCCTGCCCTACCCTCTTCTTGTGTTGGCGTAGGCTCGGGTCCCCGTCCCCTTCCTCTCCCTTCCCCGGCCGCTCGTCCTCTTCCCAGCCTTCGGTGAAAAGCGAAGCCCAGACGAGGCCTACAGCACCCGATCCCGGGGCGCCTGCTGTTCTGGCCAGCAGCCGGACATTACCTGCTGGAGGACCCGGCGGCACCTGTCCCCGAGCTAGGGGATGGAGCCACCCTCACTCCTGGGCAAGGGGAGTCCGCTTGAGCGGGGTCAGAGGCCGACCTCAAGAAATGGGGTTCCAGCCAGGTAAACCTTCTCCACCCCCAGGTGCCCCAGGTGCAAGGACCTTCCACCGGTGACCACCAAAGATGGCGTCGGCGAGAGAGCCCAGGCTTGGAGGACTGGTCCACTGTGCGCGCACCAGTCGCGGCTTTCAAGGGCGTAAATTCTCCCATAAACCGCGAGCTGGGAGACCGCAACACGGTCTGTCCTCCTTGACCCGAAAGGCCGAAGCTTTTTAATATTTACTCAGAATCTCTCTTAAGAGTCACGTCCTAAATTTGTATTGCAGTTTTGGATTATGAGGAGCCCAGTGGCCGCGAAGCACGGATCCTGCGAGTCCCGCTCCTGGTGGCCATTCCTAGCACCTTGCAGTTCAAGGCCGGAGCGGGCGCCGATGCAAGGTCATGCATCGCGCAAGGAAGGGAGCGAAGGGTTAGTGGATCCTGTGCCCATCGCTCCCGCGGCGCTTTGTCCGGAACGCGGTGGCGCTGTGGCCGGGGCCCCACGTGTCTGGTCCGCAGCTGAAGCCAAGGGAAGCCGCCCGGGCGGGATGGGGGCGGGCGACTGCCTCTGAGCAGAAAGATAAAGTCCCCTCGGGCAGGGGGTCTAAGCCCCGGTACCCCTAGCCAAGGGCACGGCCCTCGCCCCCGAGGCCCAAAGTTCCGCGCACAGGGAGGAAATTTTCACTTTCAACTAACTCAACCCTCAACCGAAGAGAAAAGGAGTTTCCGCTTAGGCGTCAGAAAATAAAAACAAGAACAAGTGACTTGTGAGAAACACCCGGAGGACGTGCTCAGAACGTGTTTCAAAGAGAATATAAGTGTGTTTGTTGGGGGGGGATGGGGAGTGGCAGGAGAATAGTGAAACAACCCCTCGATCTTTCTCCAGGGCGAAACCAGCGGAATGGTCCCCAAATCCAGCCCCAAGGGATCGAGTCCAGCCCCCCTTTCCTGAGAAGGCTCCCCGCACCCCTTCCCACCCACAGGGCTGGAAAACACCTGACTTTAAATTTTATTTAAAATCTCAACACTCGATCATTTATTTCGTTTTTGCAACCAAACAAGTAATAAATATTATTTAGCACTTTTTTTTCTTTTTACAAAAATAAAACTGTTGATACACTCTCTGCGAGGGGCAGCGATCAGAGGAGGGATGTTACGTGGCAGACGCTGAGAAGCCCATATTGCAACCCCGCTAGCGCCCAGGCGTTTGCGCGGACGCAGGAAGCACGTGGAGAAGTTTGTCATTTGTGTTAAACGTGGCAAAAAGAAACCGAAGTAGAGGAAACCCGGCTTAGACTCCGGTGGGGCTGGCAGTCACGTGAGCAAACAGCTTAGCAGCACGCACTTACCTCATTCATGGATATTATATTTACACAGCCAAGAAAGAAAAATTTAAAAAGCCAACAGAAGCCCCAAATAACCCAAGCTAGATTCACAGCAACAGCCTGTGAGTTCTGTCAAACCCTCAGGTACCAAAACGACTGCCCCAATCGGGTAAGAGACCAAATCACTTTGTGCTCAGAGACAGAAAGAATGGGGAGGGAGGAGATTCTATTTAAAATAACTAAAAAACACCCGCCCCCAAAGTCGACAGTTTTAGGTTATTCCAATCCACAAGTGGTTCTATTCTGACCGTCTACAAAGCTTGTTCGTGCTGTTGAAAAAGGAATATCGAAAGATTTATTGGAAAACCACACATCCTCAAACCAACAGGAGCGACAGGGAGAAATGGCAACAGTTCTCAGAGGTTGTGGGTTTACCCAGATATCGAGATCGGACACGACCGTAAGTGCTTCTGGTACCGAACGCCAGCTTCTAACTAACTCGCAGCCCCTGGCCCGGGGCCAGGGACGACCCTTGAGGGCGAGGCCTGACGGCGCTCCTGGAGTGCGGCTCCCGTGTGTCTCCTACCCGCCAAGAAAGGAGGAAGGAGAGGAAGTCCCCAACGCCCCCACCCCAGGTAACGAAGTGCCGCCCGCGCCGAGTGAAACTTTGTTGAGGGGAAACCACAGTTTATAGAATCAACTTTTTTGGGGGGGGAGGAAGGGGTCGAAGGAGGGATGCACACAGCGGTGCCTTCTTATAAAACGGTGTCTGCTGGACCAGCGCTGTTTAAAGCCGGAGAGGGCTGAACCAGGTCCCGGAGCGAACGCCCCTCTCACTTCCCACTGTTCAGCGCGCGCCCCCATTGCTTCGATTCCCCAGTGTTGGAGTCCTCACCATCGCCCCCACCCGAGCCCATGGTCCCGCGCTGCTCCTCGGAACTGAGTTCCCAGACCCCAGCGCCGGCCGGTCCTTGCTTCCCCGCAGCCTCTGGGTCCCCCCGCTCGCCAGGACGCGCCGGCACCGGCCAGCTCACTTGGCGTCGGAGGTGAGGCGCGGCAGGCTGCCGGCGCCCATGGCCGACACGTGGTGGTGCGGCGGTGGCACCTGACACATGCTACAGGGGCAGGGCATGCCGCCCCAGTGCTGGAAGCCGCCGCTGCCCCCGCTGCCGCCGCCTCCGCCCCCCAGCGGGGCCGCCGCTGCCGCCGATGGAGACTTGAGCAGGCCGTGCGGGGGCCGAATAGAGCCGACCGACGACAACCCGGAGCCGGGCAGGGAGGCGCTGGACACCGCGGCG